TTACAAGGAGATTTTACGGTCCCGTTACGGAATTATTCTGTCGAGATTTGTAACCGTTAGATCAACTATCCACGACAGTTACACGATGATCTAACGGTTATAAATCACAACTGGATGGTTCTGTAACGGCACTGTATCATTTACCCATTTTACAATTGAATGATCAACAAAGGAACATAAATTACCTTATTAATATTCAACGGCATAAAATGTATCGTAAAATGAATGGGCTTCAATTGTCAAAGATAAAGAACGGGCCATGGCCCATAACTGATTTAAAACCCATAGCATTGGGCCTAGGTTTTTTTTTTTTTGCTTTATTAGATTATCAAAATTTTGGATTTAAAACCATATCACTACCCTATCTCAAGTTTTCAATTTATATGCATATTTGTTAATCATAATGTTATATTTAGAGTTGTTAAACTGAACGAACTGCTTGCGAGTTTCGCTCGATTAGACTCATTTGATAAATGAGCCAAGCTCGTTTAGTAAATGAGTCGGGCTCGACTCAGTTTGATAAAGCTTGAAAGGAGAATTTTTTACATTGCTTTAAATAGTTTGACTCATTAATCTGGGTAATCAGGTCGAGTTCGAGCTCGATTAGTGGTTCATTTATTTAAAAAACCTGAGTATAATGAGCTTGAGCTCAACTCAATCGCTTCTTTACACTTCTAATCATACTCCAAAACACAACACAAACAAAAGTATGATAATCTCAGTATAAACATGTACAACACAAACGAAAATATATATTTTCGTTAAACATGTACGACTATTCGACCAGCCTAACGAATACACTTTAATTTTATACCAGCGATTTCCACAATAGGTGAAATAACTATTTTATACCAGAATATGTGATTTCCAAATTAGGTGAATAACTATTAGAGATCATTACTTATAGCTGCAGGTCACCATGTTCTTGTTTTCTTTTTTTTCTTTTGCTTGACTCAAACTCATAGTCTGTACCAAAACATGTGCACAGAAAATATTCATCCCATATTTTCTTCATTCTGAATTTGTTCAATGTTTTTAGAAGAACCTTAATTAATAATATAATTTAAGAAACTAACAATCATAATTGACTTCTTCTCTGACTGATCATGTTGTAATTTTTTTTTTATTTTTAAGTTTTAGTTTTAAATTGTAGATGAAGTGTCTAAATCCAACCAGCAAAGGGAAGTAGAATTAATTAGTAAGTGACACATTGATCTCATTGAATTATGTAAAATAAAATCTTTTTTTTTTTTTTTTT